TTATTGAAACTTGTACTATTGTGTGGAATCAGCTGTGACATAACGTATTATTGAAACTTGTACTATTGTGTGGAATCCAGTACAGTGTTCCTTTTTTTCCCTATAAACAAATGGAATGCCAGTGGTGATGTAGATTTTACAAGCTTGTAAATGCAATAGTTTGAGTTGAGTTAAATGTCCTGACAATGATGGTACGAGTCAGTCAAACAATTGGACGTTTTAGTTTGGTTTTAAATGTATTTATATGTTTTTTGTTGTTGTTTTATTAGAATACTCAAAGCTCTTTCATATAATTACTACTTGAGAGGATTGTGATACTGTGTAAGTTCTTTTTTCATTTTTGTTAAGACAAATGTATCATATTGTTAAATTTCAGTCTCAAAGAAAATTAGAAAATGAAATTGAAAGCCGGAAGAAAGGAGAATCTAAAGTACAAGAATTACGAATCAAGCTGGAACAAGAACAGGGGTTGCGGGCTCAACTCTCTTCTTCATCACAGCAAGCATCAGACAAAGTGGCTTCTTTTGATAAGCAGATAAGGGAACTCAATGAGATGCTGAAGATTGAAACTGAAAACAGTATGAAACTGAAGAAGACCAATAATGAGCTGTCATTGGTGAGCATTAGGTTTTAGGCTTAGTTTAGTTTGATGATAACTGTTCTCTTAATTATCAAAGAAATAATCTCCTAGTGTTTTTGGTGAATGTTAATTTCTTGACTTGGTTTAATTTGATGACAATTATTAACATGGATTATGCTATAAAAAGCAAACATTTTTTTAAATGTTGTGTTTTTTTTCTATGTAAAATTAATATAGTTTTTGATTATTTACAGACAAGTGATTTAGTTTAAAAAATGCTTAATACTAAGAATTGTTCCGAATTAAAACCGAGACTTGTACGTAATGTATCACATCTTCTCTGACCAGATTGATTAGTTTCAGTGACTTTGTCTACATAATTGTGGTTTTGTCCCAGTTCTAGCTGTGGTTTGTGTATAATATTATAAGCTTAATTCATTTATAATTGTTTCCTAGTTAAATTATGGACTTATAAAGGTATATTCTACTTTTTTGCCTGCTTGGTGCTACTAGTAAAATTAGGTTTAGGAACTAAATAGATTAGTAGTCAGTTAAAAATGGAGATATTAATATATAATCTCAAGTACCCGTCTATTTGTTAATGTTAAATTTCTTACATTTAATATATTTTAAGCCATCACAGTTTTCAAATGGTACGATGTCCATATGGCAAAAATAATAACTAGACTATAATGAGAACTTTTTATCACATGTCTGCAGTGTGTATGATTATGGACTAACAGTCTAAGAAAAGTTTTATAATTTATTTTTGTAACAAACATATATATATGTATATTTCAACAATAAGAATATAACAATGTAATTGATTCATCTATATCTGTTGTATACCTCAACAATAAGAACATGATATAGAATACAATTGGTTCATCTACGTGGATATCTTCCATGATTGCTCTGTGTTCTAGATTTATGTTCTACGGAGATTTACATAAAGGCACATTTTTAAAATGATAAAACATTGTATATGCTGAAGTAATGGAAGTTATGAAAATTTCCCTGTATGTACGTTTTGTTTCTTCTGCTCCAGACCAATGCAGCCAAAGACCAGAACCTTCAGGAACTAAGTGAGAAACTGACAGCTTTACAAAACACAACAACTTCACAGGCAAGAGAAATTCTTGAACTTCAGACCAAAGTTGAAAAAGAGAGAAGTTCATGGTCCCAGGCCACAGACAGATCCAATGATCTGGAAAGTAAGGTTCTAAATATTTGTATCTTCACTATGGCTACATCAGTTCCAGATAGATTATCCATTGTGCTTGTTATCTTTAGAAAAATTCTTATATTTTGTTAAAATATTCCAGGTAATTTACAGATTTGAGATGTAAATTACTGGCATTAACTGTCTCTACATGGGCTCAGTCAATTTAATCTGCCACGTGACCTCTTTGTACTTATTTGAAGTCTGTATAGATTTAATACTTCTAACTTTGAATATAGTGTGTATATGTTCACAAAATTTGGTAGTCTTTAAGTTAATATTATAAGTCTTTCACATATAAAAATTTATATTTTTTTAGTGAAGTATTTTAAATAAACTAAAATAAGGATTTGTCCATGAATATATTGAGTATTTGTTTTGAATAGTCTGTGTGAAAAGTAATTACATTACCCACAAGCTACTACGAGCTGCTTGTATGTGTGCCTCATGAAACGTTTTAATTATAATATTATTATTTTTTTTACCTAATCTATTCTTAACTAACCTAAAAGAATTCCTTTTTTTACATTTTAGTTACTTTTATAATTAGACATAAAGAATAAAGATGAAAAACAAGAAATTAAATACTTAACCAATCTTCTTTTTTTTTTGCTGTCATTTGTTGAAGAGAGTTAACCCTAATTTTTATCCTAATGCTAGTAATGCACTTAATAATTTTTGTTTAACTAAATAATTCAACAAAGAATATAGATGAATAACATGTAAAAAGTAGACAAATTCCCTAACCTCAAAATTTTTCTGGCTTTCTAACTATGCGACAAGAGTCCTTACAAATTCATCCAAGCTAGTCGTTAACTTTTTTGGGGGAATGATGTTGGTACTCTGAGTGAAATTGACATCTAATGTTCAGAACATTAACGTTATACAATATGTCATTTGATAGATGAAAACCTTGACTTTCTATTAGTTGTAGGTAATATATATAATTAAAAGTGAGAGAGAACTATTAATAAATTCTGAGAGAGGATGTGATAGGAAGGTGTGGCAGGAGGGGTATGATTTTCTACTCGATAGCTCTGCAACCAAACAAAATTGAAGACTATAAAAATTATGGTTTGTCTGAGCAATGACGATTTTATAGAGAATAATTTACGTTTAATTTCCTACTTTTTCAAGGTGTGGTGGATACAGTAGGGACGATGGCATGCAGAGAGAAAATGTGTCATGTAGTTCACACCAGGGGAATTCAGGATTTTTTAAAATATTGCCTTATAGAATTAAGAACTTAAAACTTGTATGATATTAAAATATGAAATATTAGCTAATATTTTATGCTATTCTAATTGATATGACATAAACAAAAAGTATTTTAATAAAATTTTGAATGTAAGACACTAAAACCTTGTGTTATGCTCAGTAAAGGATACCAGTGGTGATAGGGTTAACACTTAAGAGTTTTAGAAAATTTATTGCAAGTGCTTAACCTATTGGTGATTAAGAGGTTCCAGTTGCCCTGAGAACAAAATTGTGTTACTGCAGTAAACACTTTATAGGAAATGAACTTATATTTATTCTTCTAAACATGAAGATTATTCAATAGAAAGTATTGTTTATTTAATTTTATTTATAACAGTTTTTAAAATCTCATCTTTTGATTTTGGGGTTATTTCAACCAAAAGCATGAACTGAAAATGTTTCTCATCACTGTAAATGTAGAAGTTACTAGTACACATCACTTCAAACAAAGATATTGTAAACTGTAACAGTTTGTCATCACTGTTAATGTAGAAGTTACCAGTACACATCACTTCAAACAAAGATATTGTAAACTGTAACAGTTTCTCATCACTGTAAATGTAGAAGTTTCCAGTACACATCACTTCAAACAAAGATATTGTAAACTGTAACAGTTTCTCATCACTGTAAATGATGAAGTTACCAGTACACATCACTTCAAACAAAGATATTGTAAACTGTAACAGTTTCTCATCACTGTTAATGTAGAAGTTACCAGTACACATCACTTCAAACAAAAATATTGTAAACTGAAACAGTTTCTCATCACTGTAAATTAGAAGTTACAACATATTGTATATGTGTTTTTTTCAGGTCGTAGTCAAGTGTTACAGCTAGAAATTGAAAGGCTACGAGAACGAGAAACCACATCCACTGCAGAAAACCAGAAACTTAATGACAAACTTATAGAAATGGAAAAGGTTTGTAGATGGTTAAGTTTTTATTTTTAGAGTTCTACATCAACCGCTCGTTAAGCCATATCAGTTATTTTTGGACTAAGAAATATTGTAATTACTCAGTGTAATGTTCCAAGTAATTTTTTTTTTATAAAAACAGTATACACTGGGGTCCTGTGAAAACATGGTTCCCTAAGTGATTTGTTTTTGTTGTTGTTATTTTAGTGTTTTAAAGAAGAAAGATGTATTTGAAAATATAGATGTTAAATATGTTTGAAATCCATTATTGTTGTTATTAAGAGATAAGAATGTTAGAAATGTGAATTAAACATTATATTATTATACACTTTGTTAAAAAGTAAAAAATATTAACATAATAAATGACATCCATAATCACATTAAAAGTTGTTTTTTTATTCAAGAGTTAATATGCTTTTAACTTTGGTTTATTAGTGTCCTTTGTTTTTCAGCAAAGAGCTATGCTTGAGCTTGAGGTTAAGAATCTTCAGAACAAATATGACCAAGAGGCTGCTGCCCACCAGGAAGACATTGTTAATTTCACGGCAGACAAAAAACGGCTTCTTTCCTCAACAGAAGGAGCAAACATGGAAGCCTTGCAATGTATGGTTACCAGTGGTTCCATTAATATAAGCTTACTGGACTGCCATATGTACTCGATGAACTATCATACTTACTCATTAGGTTGTCATATACACACTCGACTGTCACATATATTCACTGAACTCTTATATTTACTCATTGGGTTGTCATACACACACTACTGTCATATAAACACTCTGGATTGTTATACATATACACATTCTGGACTGTCATACATACTCACTGAAGTATCACACTCGTTAGGTTGTCATATACACTGGATTATTATATAAACACATTGGTCTGTCACATACACTCACTGGACTGTTATATACACAATCGAATCTGATGGTTGTGTTGAGAATTTTGGTTGTCATATACACACATGAGACTGTCACATACACTCACTGGACTGTTATATACACAATCAAATCTGATGGTTGTGTTGGGAATTTGGGTTGTCATATACACACATGAGACTGTCACATGCACTCACTGGACTGTTATATACACAATACAATCTGATGGTTTAAATTTTCCTAAAATTTATTGGATGTTAAATTTTTAAGGAAAGACTTGTTATATATATAGACACTGGACTGTCATATACATATTGTAGACTGTCATGTTATGTACTCACTGGGCTGTTATATACACTTAGTGTATTATCACATATATTAGTATAAACTCACGATACTGTCATGTAAAATCACTGGATCATCATATACATTGACTGTACTGTTATTGAAAACTATTAATATCAGGATGTTAATTTCAAAAATATCCATATCCAAACTTTGAATTTTATAAATTCATGAATTATCTTATTAAAGAAATTGTGAAATAAAGCTTAATTTGAATAATGCTAACATATTTTTTGATACACTGAATGAGTTGAAAGATAAAATAGTATATTATTTGAAACAGCCTTGAAAACCAAGATGAATGAAGAAAAAATTCTACGTCAGAAGGCAGAAAATGCAAGTCAAGAGAAGGAACGACAGATATCTATGTTGTCTGTGGACTACCGTAGCTTACAGCAGCAGTTACAGAAAGTAGAAGGAGAGTGTAGACAGGAATCAGATAAGGTGTGTTTTAAACAAAAGAGTCGTAAAACTAAATAGATACTTTCGATGACGAGGAACCCACTTTGAGACTAATAATGGCTGGAGACGACTTGAATGGGTAATGA